TGTATATATGTATGTATGTATATATATATGTGTGTGTATATATATATTTAAAATCTAAATCAGCAAAGTTACTGAAGCTTATCAGACTAATGTGACGGAGCAATAAAGTACAATATTTCCTTTTTAGAATGTAATGTAGTATGAAAACAATCACAGTCCACCACTGACTAATAGGGCCTTTAAGTGGGTTAACTTGTAATTATTGATAACAATGATGTGTCTGTATCAACAGCTTCTTTTGGATTGATTTATGTTTTCTTAAAGGACCTTGAAGGTAACAGAAGCTTTCTCACCCTCATCAGAATAAGAGTGTGAAGTGATGACTGATATCAATCAGTTCAACTTTGTCAGCTATTCGATTAGTTGTTAACTATTATATTCATCTAAAGTGTCAATCCTTAAGATGTCAGTCCTGGTTGATCTCTGATTCCAGCTTCTTGTTCTGGGTTCTTTACTCCTCTGTGACGGCAAACTGAACATCTTTGAGTTGTGGACAAAACGAAACATTTTAAGGGCTTTGGGAAACACTGATTGACATTTTATAGACCAAACAACTGATCGATTAATCAACGAAAAACAATTGACAGTGAAATGAATCAACAGTTGCAGCCCTCTACATGTTATACGTCTTCTGTCACCTCGGCTGTAGATGGAAACCAACCGGCTGGGAACATCTTTCCTTCAGAAGTAGCGACATTAAAGCCTTTAAATGTGTTCATGAGTTTGATCTCTCTCCGGTACGGCTGTGTGTTCACGGTGGTTCATTAAGGTTCTTTATTGGTGCTCAGTGGCTCAGAAGAGGAAGAGATATCAGGCTTTGGATTTACATAAATCTATGGTTGAATCTGCAGTAACGTCGACACATCATCTTCTTCTTCTTCTTCTTCTTCTTCTTCTTCATTAGAGTCTGAATGCAGGAGGAAGTGGAAGACGCTGAGGGACCAACACCGGAGGGAGAGGCAGCGGGAGAAGGACCGACGGGAGAGCGGCATCGGGCTCTTTAACTACCGGCCCTGGAGATACTCGGCCATTTTGTCCTTTTTGAACCCGTTCATCGACGCCAGAGCCGCGGGCTGCAACGGCTGGGCTCTGGACCCGCAGCCCTCCCAGCTCCACGCCTCTGAAATGGGCTGCAGCACGACCACCGAAACACGGAGCGACGACGACGACAACTACGGTTTGTACATCCGTCGGGACGGGTACCGTTGGGATTCTATGGATACTCGTACTCTTATCGGTCCGGTTCCTTATCGATACTCTTACTGGTTCTTTTTCGTTATTTTTTGAGGAAAAAAAAAGACAATTAATTAAGAAAATAATCAACATTTCTTTATTATTCTTGTACGTAAACAAATAGTCTTTATTGAGTTCTAAAATCTTTAAAATACGTTCTCATCACAACAATGATCTCACTGATTATCTCTCATTGATGATCCTGTTCTTCTGATCAAACTCCGTATGACATCACTACCGTATGACATCACTACCGTTACCTGACGGCTGCTCCACAAACAGACTGGTGTTCTGCTTGTTGGTCACATGTTGTGATGAACTTACTTGTGAGGGTTTTATTGTGTTTGAGACAACTAGAGTTCTACAATGTGTCCTTCTCTCTGATCATGATGTGAGTCTCACGCTGACACAGAGACAGAGACAGAGACAGAGAGAGAGAGAGGACGTTTGACACGAGGACGTCTCGGTCCAGAACTCAGAAAGTACCGATAGCAGAACCAGTAACTAAGTAACGGGTTCTACTCATTTAGAACTGGGTTCCGGGAGGCATCCCTATACATAATGTCCAGAATTATGTCCCCAAAATGTCTTTACGGCTGCACGGACAGTGTTTGACATGTTTCTCAAATTGAAAAGACGTTTTATTGGGGCTACAAATGATGATAGTTTACAGGGACGCACCAGTTTTTAAACTTTTCTTCTGATCACAGCTGCAGGATGAAAATAAAACGTGATTGCTTTAATCTGTCTCAGCAGACGTCTCTGTAGTCGACGCCACAACAACAACAACAACAACAACATCGTCCTCAGAGTTTGTTCAGAGGAAGCGTCCGTCTTCCGCCGGCAGAGAAGCCATCGGATTCAAAGAAGCGAAGATGGAGGTGACCTCGGAGAGCGCCGCCAGAGACGACTGTGTGCAGATGCAACAGCACGACAACATGAAGGAACTGTTCGAGGTGATGATGCAGTCGGTCACGTCTCTAGCCGCCTCCTTGGCCTCTTCGCACTCTTCCTCGCAGCCCTCAGATCAGCCGATGCCTCCTGCGGCCCTGCAGCCTGATCTCCATCACCTCCCGACGCACCGCGGCCCGCCGCTGCCGTCCTGCACCGCCTCCAGGCTGAACCACCTGAAGACGGAGGAGCAGGAGGCCGAGGTGGTGGAGCTGCTGGACGACCAAACCGACGGCGAGGAGGAGGAGGAGGAGGAGGAGGAGGAGGAGGAGGAGGAGGAGTGCGGCGCCGCGGTGTCCACCAGGCCGACCCGGGCCAAGAGGAAAAGCAGCGACAGTCTGCTGGAGGAGTACCTGAGGAGGATGGAGGCTCAGAGAGACCGGGACCTGGACCAGAGAGACGATGTCACCCTGTTTTTACTGAGCTTGGCTCCGGCCATGAGGAGACTTCCTGCTGAGAAACAGTCGTGGGTCAGAACCAAGATGCAGCAGTTTCTACACGAGGCCGAGTTTGGTGCTACGAGTTTTCAGTGATCCCGAAAATATTTTACATTTTTATAAATACTGTATGGATCCCATATTTGTGGACTTTAACAAAAAAATATATTCACCTACAAAAGAGTTAGTTTTCTCCATTTTTATGATTGTGTAACTTCTCTTTTCACAGTTTCTTTTGTGCTGTTTTTTAATAAAAAATCCTCTTGTGACTCGTTTATATTTTGATAAATGAATTATTAAAGTGAGGACGTTAAACAACATTGATCTTTCTTTACGTGAAGAAAACAAACAGATTGGTGATTGTTGTAAAGTGAAATATATTGATATATATATATATATATATATATATATGAAAGTCCAAGCACAAGTTGTTCTTTGATAATTTGATCGACTGTGAATTTGCACCACTGAAGCAAAAATATCAACCGGTTTCTTGCATATTATGTGATTTAATATGATTCATTATTTTAGTGTACATTCTGCATATTGCTAAATAAAGTTGTGTTGCATCAAATTACCAGAAATACAAGCCTGATTTATACATTTCATTCCTAAACACGTGGAAAACATTATTTATTGTGGCTGTTAACTGTATTTTCTGATTTATGGAGCGATGAAAAGAGATTTCTATAATTCTCTCCAAAAAAAACCTGTTGACTCTAATATGTCAACAAAATTAATCAGTAGTAGTAGTAGTCCTAGTAATAGTAGTATTAGTAGCAGTAATAGTAGTAGTAGTCGTAGCACTAGCATTAGTAGTATTAGTAGCACTAGTAGTAGTAGTAGCAGTAGTAGTAGTCGTAGCACTAGTAGTAGTAGTAGTAGTAGTAGTAGTAGTAGTAGTCGTAGCAGTCGTAGCACTAGTAGTAGTAGTAGTCGTAGCACTAGTAGTAGTAGCAGTAGTACTGACACTAGTAGTAGTAGTAGCAGTAGTAGTAGTGGGTTAGGGTTAGTAGTAGTAGTAGTAGTAGTATTACTAGTAGTCGTAGCACTAGTAGTAGTAGTAGTCGTAGCACTAGCAGTAGTAGTAGTCGTAGTATTAGTAGTCATAGCACTAGCACTAGTAGTATTAGTCGTAGTAGTAGTAGTATTAGTAGTAGTAGTAGTACTAACACTAGTAGTATTAGTAGTAGTAGTAGTAGCAGTAGTAGTAGTAGCATGAACCTCAGAGTGACGTCATGAATCCACGTGTCTCTGTTTTATTGTTTTTATTGTTGCAGAGTTCAGCTCTCGGGCCTCTGGAGGCTCTATTTGTGGACTTGGTGACCTTTGACCCCTGCTGCTTTAGTTAGGCGAGTGAACCGTCTGGGAAAGGGACAGGGATTTGCCCAAACCCTCCACGAGTATTTCAGTGATCCCGTGTGTAAAATAAGATCTACATTATGCTCTTTTTCTGTCAGTGCAAAGTGGAAACTTCTCATAAGATACTATGAATAAAGTCAGTTATTCTGTGTCCTCGAAGCTTTTAAAGGGAATCTAAAGGACGACACGTTTATGTGTTTATTCTACCATTGTGTCTATTTGACTTGGTTTGTTCTCAGACTCTGATCCAGAAATCTCCACTTCAGCAGCTCTTACATTCACCAAACTTTACTCTTTCATTCCTCTCTGTGTGCTGAAGGTTAACACAGAGGGGTTTGTTCACACATCACTCACACACTCATTTATACACATTTATTAATAAAACATGGAGGAAATAGATGTTTTAATGTTCTGATTAGAGTGATGTGAAGAGATATCATAAACTTCCTCTGTAAAAACCTTTAACTCTAATATGTCAACAAAGTAAAACAAGAATGATGAACCTGGCTTTATTTAATCTTCAGATTTATGTTGTGGAAATGTATGAAAATTTGCAAATATTTCATTACATAATTCCTCATTTGCATATTTAAACAACTTCTAAAACAAAATATAATTGTCTTAATGAGTTGATATATCCAAGTTAAAATGTTTACCTTATTCACAAAAACATGTACTTAAAGTACCAAAAGTAGTATTCATTATGCAGCAAAGAAGACCCCTGACAGTAGTATATTATGATGTAATATTTTATTGAATTATTATGAAACAATAATGTTAAACTTGGCTTCATCCAATGTTCACATTTATGTTCAGAACCCTGAATTTATGTAATATATATATAGTAAAATATAGATCAATAATAAATATTTATTACTATAAATTATAGTAAAACATTATAACAAACAAGCTGACAAAACATCAAATGTTCTTCACAATGGAGCGATGAAAAGAGATTTCTATAATTCTCTCCAAAAAAAAAACCTGTTTAATCTAATATGTCAACAAAATGAATCAATAACTGGCTTAATCCAATATTCACTTTTTTGTTGTGAAAATACCGTATGTGCAAATTATCTCATGACATATATGGATACATTTGTGAAGCATTCTTTGCATGCAAAATTATAAATGTTATCTTATATTCAGTTGGGTAGTTACATTTCTGTTTTGACAATGCATCATAATAAGTTTGTTTTATGTAAAATGTAAATGTTCTGTTAAAATACAATGCTTCCCTCTTAAACGAAGCAGAGTAGAAGGATATAACGTACATTTAAATTAGTACTGAAGTACTTAAGTGTTAGTAAAGCGTTATTATGTAAAATGTAGTGATTAGACAATTTGTAGTACTGTAGAAAAGTCACTGGGTCAGTGATCCGGATGTGTGAAAACTGAGCAGCCCGTGGGAAACCCTTTCAGAAGCCCCGTACATGCAGTCGAGAAGCAGAGATCGCGACGTTACGTCGTCGTCGCCATTTTGTTTCACCGGGAGTAAAGAAATCAACCTGAAAAGCACCGGGCGTGAATATTTTTCCTTTATTTTTGAGCACTTTCAACAGGGCGGATCGGCCTCGTGCACCTGCAGTTTTAGATTAGCGTGGTACGTAAACACCGACGGAAACACGCTGTGTTTTATTGTTACGTTAGCGGCAGAGTAGCTCGTTTAAGTTAGCGTTAAACAGTTGACGTGACATGCTATAGCCGGCATTTTGGAAAAAAAAGGGGGCTCTCTTTTTGGTTGATGGTGAAACAGATGCGTTATGGATGGCTACTATATCCGCACCGAATTCAGAGGGAGAACCAAAATGCTCGACATGATTAAGTTCTAAAGTGTGTATGTGCGTGTGTTCTTCTGTTTATTTTAACATTTAGTTTGCGGCTGCACGCGCGCGCTGAAGAGACTGCGGCCTGTTGATCCGCACGAGCCATAGCTAGCTAACATTAGCTAGCGTTATGCTAACAAGAGGCGTGGTGGATGTTTTGTTTTTGGAAAACCAGCTGGATTTTTAACTTGAGATTACTATTATAGTATTTATTTTATTAGTCGTTTAGTGTGACATGAACCGCACTCTCAGAACTATTGGACGTTAAGTGTCACGTGGTAAAGTTGGCCAAACGATCCAAAATTTTGTTTTTTAGTTAAGTTTTACTACGTCCCGGTTTACTTTAGCTTGCTGTTTAATGTTGTTGCTATCTACAACATTATATATATATATATATATATATATATATATAGTATTCCTATAAGTTAACTGTACACTGGTGTATATCTTATACATATTTAATTATGTGCAATATAAATACACTGTGCAATACTATTATTCTCTCTGTATATACTGTATAATATTTTAGTTATTGTGGATTTGTTACTTATTTAATATTCTTTACTGTTTTATTACTTATTTATAATACTTGTTTTGATCTTGTTTTTTACTATGTCTCTTGTTTGCACTATGCATATACATATAAACATATGTTATATTATATTCCTATATGTTAACTGTACACTTATACATATTTAATGAGTTGTTGGAGGGAGCTCGAAATAGTGCATTAATATCATCAATATATAATAATATTGAACTCGAATAGTGCAAACAAGTATTGTAAATAAGTAATAAAACAGTAATAATAATACAACAGTAAAGAATATAATATCACTGCGGGACTAATAAAGGCTTATCTTATCTTAAGTTGTTGTTAACCTGCAGTAACGTCTCACATGCACAGATGTCTGCAGACATGGCCACAGATCATGTAAACGGGAACGGGACGGAGGAGCCGATGGACACTACAGCCGAGGTGACCCGCTCGGAACACTTCCCAGCTCTACTCGAGGCTGGTCTACCTCAGAATGTGGCTGAGAAGCTAGATGAACTTTACGTAGCAGGTAAGCAGACAGTGTGTGTGTGTGTGTGTGTGTGTGTGTGTGTGTGTGTGTGTGTGTGTGTGTGTGTGTGTGTGTGTGTCTTGCCTTTTACCTGCAGTGAGAAAGAAAAAGCAGGTTGATACAAATGTGAGGCGTTAACACACTTGCTATTAGATTTGTCACAGGTGTGGAGTAGTTTGGGCGTATCTGTAATAAGACTTTAGAATAAATCACCAAATCAATCACACGACTAGAACACTGTTTGTTTTGTTAGGTTCAATCTTTGCACTGTTGGTTTGTTAGTTCATTTTAATATTATTCTATTTCATTGTATATATTGTGCATTTTTATATTTAATATTTTTTACTCTGTTATTTTTATTGCTTTACCTGTTTCTATAAATGCTGCTGTAGTGAAATAATTTCCCCTTGTGGGATTAATAAAGTATCCAGCTAGCTATCTATCCATCCATCTGTCCGTCCATCCATATCTCTATCTATCCAGTTGTTGTATTGTATAGGCAGCGATGGAAGAAGTAGTACTTGTTTCTTTTTCCTAAGTTAAAGTAGCAATACCACAGGGTGGTTAAAGTAAAAGCCCTGCATTCAAAATATTAAGTGAAAGTACAAAAGTATCGGCATCAAAACATACCCGTATACTAAAAGTACTATCAGAATAAAGTGTATCACATTACAGGAATATTTATCGGTAATGTGTTCATCACTTTAATGTTGCAGCTGATCATTTTAATCATCTTCTATATTCTGTAATAACACATCATTTATTTGTTGGTTCAAATTTTGTATTTATAATCTAAATCTGCAAAGTAACTAAAAAATATAAAAAATAATGAGTGACATAAAAAGCGCAATATTTACATCTGAGATTTAGTGGAGTAAAAGTCAAATGTATCCTACAGTACTAATACACGTATATCTAGAGGGAGTAACGCATGTTTCTAAATTCTGAGATGGCATATTCACGGTTCCTTCATCACCTGGAACACACACTCAATCCCCACAGACATCGTCACTAGAGCTCCACAAGTGGAAACACATATTATCTATATCTATATCTCAGCAGACTTGGTCTTTGATAAAGTGATAGCTATAAACAATGGTGACTAGGGAAATGAAACTTCAATCGCTCATCAGTGCCGTTGTTCTGTAATAGGCTGATAATGAGGGCGTAGTAAACGTGAGCTGCAGGATGTCGGAGGGAATAAGTTGTTTGCGACTAAATAATTTACTTTGCATTCAAACTTCTGTTGATGAAATCAGGAAGTGAAGTCCCTTAACAGAAATACATAATTTAAAATGAATCTTTCGTCCTTTGTGGCTTCAGGTCTCAGTACAGTGATGCTGTTGAGTAGAGAGAACTGAATATATGCCTCACATTTATGGAGATGTTCTTCATTTTACTCTGTTTTTATAACTTATTGAACCGAATGTCTTTGGGTTTTGTTACAAAACACGACATTTGAAGACATCACCGCAGACTTTGAGAAACAGCGATGGATGATTTTCACTGTTTTCTGACGTTTATAACGCGTATACCAAACGATTAATCTGCAAACTAATCTGCAGGTAAATAAATAATGTAAATAATGATTAGTTTACAGGCCCAAAGGGTGTTTTGTTTGAGAATCTTGTAATCTGGTTCTAGCTGCTCGGCCAAATGTTTGAGCAGCACTGTTGTTTTGATTCATGCATGTCTAAAATATTATTATACTTGATAATGAAACGTGGAAGCAATCATTTAGTTCCTTCTGGTACGAATCATTTATTGTGATGAAGCCTCTCTTGTGCAGCTGCTTCATAGCTGAGTCACATGTCCTTTGTTTTGCAGTGCGTTTTAACATCATATTTACATTTTTCTCTTTCTTTTGCGTGTGCTTACAGGCCTAGTAGCACATAGTGACCTAGACGAACGAGCTCTTGAAGCTTTGAAAGAATTCAACGAGGAGGGAGCTCTGCAAGTGCTGGTCCAGTTCAAAGAGAGCGATCTGTCACACGTGCAAGTAAGTTTAAATCCTCTAACAGACAACGGCCTCTACGTCTAAAAAGGTTATTTTATTTGTAGATAAAAACCTTTCCTTCCTCACAAAGTGCTTCTCTCCTGCAGAACAAAAGTGCCTTTCTCTGTGGAGTGATGAAGACGTACAGGCAGAGGGAGAAACAAGGGACGAAAGTTTCAGATTCCACTAAAGGACCCGACGAGGCCAAAATCAAGGAGCTCCTGGACCGAACCAACTACACACTCGACGTAACAACGGGCCAGCGAAAGTACGGCGGACCCCCGCCGGAGTCGGTGTACTCGGGGGCCCAACCCATCGTTGGAACAGAGGTACTTTACTTTACTTAATTATGAAACAACGGGTTCAGTTGAATCTTGCAATAGAACTGAAACGATCAGTCGATCGGCAGTAAAGTAATAAGCAACTATTTTGATCATCGATGAATAAATAGTTTCATTTTTCAAGAAACGATTCCATTGTTTTCTGATTTCCAGCCTCTCAAATTGAGTTTTGCTGCTTTTCTTTGTCATTCATCATTGAAAACTAAATGTGTTTTGTGTATTTTGGGCTTTCTGTCAGATGTTTGAAGATCTCTGGAGTTGTGACGGACATATTTTATATATGTATTGTGAAATAATTTGCGGGGATCTGTGACAAAGTTCTTTCCTGAAGTCTGTAGAATGCAATGTGTAGACGAGGACTTATTTATTTAATATTTAAAACCTCGCTGACGTTGCAATATCCACAGCCATTTTCACATTTAAGATCAAATCCTTTATTAATGTTCTCAAACATGGATCAATGAATACAGTGCTCCTACTTAATATGAAGAGAGAGAGTGGAGTCTGTAAATGTGATGTGTGGATCTTTTAAATGTTTTTATTCTAGATATTTATCGGGAAGATTCCCCGCGACTTGTTTGAAGACGAGCTGGTTCCTCTCTTTGAGAAGGCCGGGCCGATCTGGGACCTGAGGCTCATGATGGACCCGCTGAGCGGCCTTAACCGAGGATACGCCTTCGTCACCTTCTGCACCAAAGAAGCAGCGCAGGAGGCGGTGAAGTTGGTAAGTTAGACAGAATTAAACAAAAAAACATCTCTTCTGGAAAACTAAAGTTAAACACAAGAGTTGAGTCGGGACGCTAGTGTCTGTCTGTCGGGACGCTAGTGTCTGTCTGTC